ACTCTTTCTGGCACGTCTATTTTTTCACTCTCACTAACCCAACTGCATAAACAGATGAAATTCCTTCCTGTATTTTCCACTCTTTACAAGGGTGACCTCAACAGCAGAGGAGAAAGCTAGAACATAAAGCTGCTGCTGCCAGTAATATAAGTTTACCACCTTATATTTGTGTGTATGTTAACTTTTCTTACATAGTTTGACTATATTATTCTCTTATTCATATTTTGTATATAAGTTCTACTCAAAATAAAAACAAAGTTAAACATTATTTTGTAAGCAGCAATACGAAACTGATAGATTAACTACAAAAACTTTATCTCTTTAGAAAAATGCTGTGAAGACAAATATGTACTGACATATGTACTGACTGTTTTTAAAATCAGCAATTATTTTGAGTCTGAAAGTTACAGGCTTATAAAGCTGAGGACCTTGAAAAAATTCACTTCCTCAAATTCCTTGTATGGCAATCTTGACCTTAGGATGTAAAACAAAAATGCAGCTCCTTCAAGGACTTTGTAAGTCTCTGATTTAGCTACTTACAAAACATATCCACCAAAACTGTGAATTAACTCTACCATTGAAACCAGAAAGAAATAGGATAGTGAGGACTGCACCTCAGCAAGAGAAACCTCCTCAACAGCGTAACCATATCAGAACCATCAGTTCTACCTAAGCTTTGCCCTGATAAACTATTTCAAAAGAGTGGCAGCAAAACATTGGAGTCTTTCAACTCCATGGATTGACACTGAAAACACAATACTGAAAAACAACTGCTAAAAAAGCACTGTCTCATGTATTCTCTTATGAAATGCATTAGGAAATGTCACAGTGCCAAGATCTGGTTACAGCTTCTGTAGATGCACGTGATCGCTAAATAGCTACCGAAAACACTGACACAATTGCAATCACTATAGATTGGAGTTAAGAAACTGTGTGTCTATTAAAATAGCTGATCTCTGACAAACTGTGCTGTCCAGCTAGCAAGGTGATGAGAAACAACTTTCCCAAACTCAGTGGTCATGCACAAAGACAACACAGGGACAAAACGACATTCCTTTCTCAGTTTAATTACTCATTCCTAGCTACTTCTTTTCCGAGGCAGTGGGTAGACAGATACTATTTTGACAAAGATTTTAGTAACATCGTTCCAGTATCTTTATAGGTGCTAAATTATCAACTAAATTCTACAGTAATGCACTTGTACAGGAGGCAGGTTACATTCACACAGAACAGTCAAATTATTTTTGTGAGCTGTGATAAATATTAGGTAGGAGTAAAACTGATAAAATTACCAGTTTTATTCCTCTACTTTTAGCCAAATTCTGCCAAATATTCAACCACTATTGGGATTTTGGATGGAGGTTCCAATATTTTGCTAATTCTCTTGAATAGAAGGGAAGTGAGGTGTAGCTGCTTCCTGAAAATTCCAGAAAGGAATAAGCCAAGATTTTCTTCAAAATAAAAGAAAGACAACACTTGCAGCACATCTCAGTTTAAAAACACATTTCTGTGCAAATGATGTAAAAGTAATGAGCAACAACTGGAAAATGTCAAACCAACATACTTATTGAGGCTTCAGACAGTCCTATTATTCACAGGTTAAGGATCTTGTTAGTTCTTCAAATAATGACAACAATTTATACTGAACAGTTACGTGACAAGATGCAATGCTATACGCACTAACTAGTGTTGACCTCACTGGAGCCCTTCAATAAAGACCTTCATCAAAATTCCAAATGACTGAATTACTGTTTATTAGACAGAGGGTCAGGTTGAAGTTCATCAGATTGAAGTCAAATTAAGCCTTTGTGAAAAGCCTCACAAGATATAGTCTCCAGTGTACTGCGGAGATACAATTATTAATAAATAATTTTGTTGAATCATGAGCAATTGTTCTGTTGAAGAAGACCTGGAATACTTCACACTGGCCTACAGCCTCATAGAATCTATTGCCACTTAATCACCATTAAAGAGCAGCCAATCACTCACTGAAGAAAGCACTGAATACACACACACAAAAAATCAACTGCTGAAGAGATTTCATGCTTACAACCACTTTCAAGTTACGCACGATAAGTTTGGTTTCAAGCTCTGTACCTTATTTTCTGCTTAGAAGTATTATTAAATACCAGCTGAAAGTTTAGTTCTATGGATTGCTCAAAAATTAACTCTTACTAATTCTTAATCCTCCAATTAGGAAAAAAAATCCAAAAGGATTGAAAGGATTGAAAAAATCCACTTCTGATTAACAGTAGAAGTCAAAGAAAACGTGAGGGGAAAGACTGAAAACAAACGGCCATCATGATGAAATTAAGAATACAACTTCATGCCTTAGAATGACCCAAGACCATCACTGCACATAAAACTAGCCAACAATGACAGTAGTTTTGAGATCTCACATTCACCTGCTTTGATAAACTGCTCTGAAAATGAAGTTAACATTCAAGTGTAATAAGAGGTCTGTTATATAATAGTGAATGAATGAACCACTTACTCCCTTAAAACTTACAAATAAAACAATTTCACACAGATGGCCTTTTTTTTTTTTTTTTTTTTTGTTATAGGACCAAATAGAATTGGTACAATACAAAAATACTGAAGGTAATTCAACTGCTGGAAAGCATATCTGATTTGTCGTGCCACACAATTTTATAAAAGCTATTCAGTTGGAAGGCAATAAATGAAAAAACTTCTCCCAGGAGGGCTTTTTTTTTTTTTTTTTTTTTTTTTGTTATAGGACCAAATAGAATTGGTACAATACAAAAATACTGAAGGTAATTCAACTGCTGGAAAGCATATCTGATTTGTCGTGCCACACAATTTTATAAAAGCTATTCAGTTGGAAGGCAATAAATGAGCATTCAAGTGATTTACACACTTTTGGATCATAATTTTTTACACAATGTTTTATTTTTAAAAATATATATATGCTGTATACTATTATGTTTATTCTCGGTGGTATAATAAAATCATAAATCTATCTGATGAAAAATGGATTGTATTCCAATTGTATCACTGTAGCACATAGAGCTGCTCTTATCATACCACTTACAAAGATCAATGGTAACTTGAAAATGATTTCATTCCATGCTACCTCTAATATATTAGCAATAAAAGGACTCTTTTTAATTTAAAAGTCACATCAGCTGCTGTCCATCTTCTTTCAAAATCCCCTCCATTTCTGAAACTGACATATTATAGGAGCACAATATCACCTGGTAACTACAGGGCTACTTTCTGATTTTCCTTGTGAAAATTAGTTTAAAAACTAGCTCACGTGCCAATTCAACAGAAATACAAAGCTTTTCCTGACATGCATTGTTGTGTACCCCACCCCAATCCTGTGGTGATGTTAATGTAAAATGTAACATAAAACGTTAACTTATATAAATTACCATTAAAAGTAACAAACAGCTGGCCTGCTTTACCACCAACAAAAGTTTTCTAAACCAGCAGCACACATTTTACATGCATTAAAACAAATTAAAAACAATGAGAGTGGTAAAGCTTGCCTCTTCCAAAGGCTCATCTTGAAATTAATCTTTCTAATTCTCAGACTGGCTCTGCATAATGATGACAAACTCACTTTTATTTGGCAGCTGCTGAAGAGGTGACACCACCTGCCAAAGCCCCTGGTGCTGCTTCTTCCTGGATATACAAGGCCATAGCAACTCAAAACTTCAGTACCTTTAACTGCGTCATGACTTCAACTAAACTCTAAATAAGTATCTACATTTCACTGATGTCATCACCTGGAAAAACATAATACGAAATTGCACGTTCCAGTGGTCCACAATAGCATATTTCCCAGATCTTCACGACCGTTGCTACCCTGGGATTATTACCATCGCAAGCACATTTGTAAACACTGAATTTTAAAATTAAAATGTTCAAAATGTGAAATAAGAGTAATAAAAATAAAAAGCCTGAAAAATCTCTCAGCCTGGCATAAGCAATATAACAATAATTCAGGAATTCAGCAATGACCTAAATCAGTTTTCACTCCTCCGGTGAGATACAGCAACGGCTTATCTCCATTCTTCAGGAAGCTGTTTCGGAACAGACACCGACCTCTCACAAACCTGGGCTTCATTAAAATTACAGTGTCTTAAAACAGATGCCATAAAGGGCATTCTTTGAAATCATGCAAGTATATAACATGCACTGTTATCCAAAGGCAAGCATTTCCAAAATTCAATAAAAAATTACGCTATTTGTTGTATTTCTGGATGTATGCTTATATTTCTAAAGGGGCAACTAGTTTATTCACTTAGGAGCATCTTTCACAGACCAAAGTATTTTAAAGGTGCTAGGGAGTTTAGCCACAAAACATTTTTCAAATAAGGCACAAAACTTTGAGCTGATTTTTTTGTAGTCATACAAAAAAATCCAAATAAAAAAGAACTCTTTCAGTACTCCACTGTTTCTATAGCATTGATTTTTGGAAACCAGTATGTTACAAAGAAGTGGACAATGAAATATATTGGAAACCAAATTCTAGCTACAAAATCTTGTATTGCAGCATATCAGTTTTAACTGAAATAGGTAAAATAATGGGTTATATAAAAAAGATTACATATATTAACTTACTTGCTTTTTCTCCTTCTGTTCGAAATGCTTAAAGAATATACTGAATTAAAATTTTGCTTTTTTCGTATAATTCTGTGGCTCTTTTAGTGAATAAAAATTCTATCTCATAGATGTAGGAAATACAACTGTCATGGGAATACCTATTTTCTTCCCCCACTATCACACCTACTGCAGTAATTCCTAAGATCAAGATGATTCAACTGTTAAAAATACCATACAGAGAAAGACTATAGCACCACAAATATATGGCATTACAGATTCATTAAATGCTCAAGTGGTTAAGTTAAATTATTACTGAAGTAATTATCAGAATTTTAACCTACAACTAGACAAGAAAGAAAAGAAAAGCCATATTTCCTAAACATAGTGATTGTCACTAATATTTTGGATACAAATAAAGTACTCTTTACCTAGAAGAGTTCTTCTTTATTTTTTCATCAAGATCACTAAGGACTTGTTGAAACTCCTGTTCTCCAGGAAGGACACTTAACAAACAGTCCAAATTGGAAGAATCAAGCGAATACTCTCCTCCCCATTCCATTTTCAGAAACTGTAAAACAGATACAGAAAAGTGGTTAAATGACAGAAGAACTCAGAGAAGAAGTATGAAAATATACAATACTTTCTTCCTTGGAAATACTCTGATTAATAAGGGAAGCATTTATGTAGGGAACTAGAAAATCAGTATTGAAATGTAAATCTTGTGCATCCTTCTGAGCAGAGTGCTGCAGAGAGGGCACCTGTAAAATAAAAGCAGAGATAAATTTCATAATATCTTGCATTTTTTTGTGGTTTAAAAAAAAACAGTTCTTCTACCTTAGAGTAGTAGCTTTATTAATAATTATTATTATTTTTAAGATCTAGAAAAAAAAGTCTCACTATTATAACTAGAAACTACAAAAGTAAATACAGTAGGGGGTAAACATATTCTCTGTGTGCTTATCATTTCTATCCAAGGAGTAACTGCTTTCTGAAAATTAAGCATATCATTGCAAATAACTAGAACATAAAAATCCTGACCAAAACATTATCATGTACCAGAAAACAAGAGTCATATTGCTTTGTACACATTTTACTTAACAAATACTTTGCCAAAACACAGGCCAGATCCACTGGCCTACTCAAACTAAGACACTAAATCCCAGGAGTCTTTATATCGGAAAGAGAGCATTCGTGGAATTGTTTTTTCTGTATTCTCTTTTTTGGGAAATAATGACATTGATCTTACAACCAGTGATGACTTGCTACTGAAATTAAAGAAAAAAATTATATTAAAAGTGGAAACTTCTAAATAACCAGTATATTTCACACCAATTATTTAATAATAGTATTCATATTGCAGTAGTAATGTGAGAAACAAACATAACCATTCAGATGCACACAATGTTTGGACAACAAAACATACTGAATTAATAAATACACTATTTTCCTTGCAAGCAATACTCTTTTATGAAGCAGTTACAGCGTTTGTTGGAAATTTACCTAGAGGCAGTACTAGAAAAATAAGCTGTGAGCTTTTCTAAGTGAGCAGTGTAAAAGAGACATATTCCAAAAGAACATCAGATTAAGATGTGAGATCAAGATGACAGTTTTTGGTCAAACATGAGTGTAGACCTACAAGTAGCAGAACTGTGAATTTCTTCAGCAGAAATGACACCAGTGATTCTGATTTTCTCCTTTCAAAACAAAGTTAGAATAAACACGAAGATCATTTAAAGACTAGTCATTTAAAGACTAGAAAAGCATACCACAATTAGCAGTACAATACCACAAAATATTTCCTGGATATATAATTTCCTTAAATTCTCAGAAGCTACAGGATACTCCTTTGCAAATAGCAACTCCAAGGCTTTCAACATTTTGGAATGTACCTGAAACTCAGTCACCCTTGTGGTTAAAAAGTTTCGATGTAAACAAAATACATCACGTAACACATTGAGGGAAGAACAGCCTTTGAATGTAAGAAAGTATCTTAACAGATGTTACTGCAATTAAAGACACTGTAATTAAAAGCTGAAGTTAAAAAGCATTCTCCCAAATGCTGAAATGCTTGTCAGTTGCTCTGGCAAAAAACAGCAGGCCAATTGGGAAGGTTCTGCAATCAATGGAAGAACATTAAACAGCACTGTATAGAACTGAGAGAAAAGGAATATTGAAAATACATCGTTCACCCATGTATGATACTACTTACATGCAGATGTGGTCACAGAAATCCATCCCCTCTTCTCTTCAGAAATATCTCAGAGTTTATACAGAATATGAGGCTAACTCCATTCAATACCTATAACTCAAACCCATCTTGCAGCACTCTCAGTGATTGGTGCAAAATGTACTGTATAATACATACATGTAATACAAAAATAATAACAACTTGGAATGACTCAGAGTTTTCATAGAACAGCTGCACAATCAAAATTGTATATTTATATTTATTCCTAACTCTTTTCCTTACAGGATAGCCAAAAGAAGCTTGTGTTCCTCAGGAAAATATCAGTGTAGTTTACAGACCACTTACTGTTTGAAAAATTCATCATATGAAAAAACTCGCCTTGTAAACATGACAGCCCAGTTTTCATGTATGCATTCCTGTAAGACTTCTATGTCATACTTCTTTAGTTCACTTGTCAAAACACAGTAATTATTCCTTTCAGTCTTGGTTTAGGGGGGAAAACGCAATACTTGATTGTTCAGTTTTCAAATATTGTTTTAAATGGTCAATAGCAATTTCTTCCTACGAACACCCAAGCATTTCTCTAATACAAGACTATCGTATGAAGAAGCAAAACACAAATATGTTTCAGAAGGAGACACTAAGTATGTTGAGATATAAACAGTGGAACTGGACGATCACTGGGTGCCTCTCTGGGGAGCAGGAGGATGGTCATCGGTTGGTGAGGTCCCTCCCTGACACTTGGGTCACCCCCCTTCTCTCCAGGCTCTCAAAGAGCATCCTGTCACTGCTGCTCCCTGACAACCAGTGTGAAACAGCCCTCCTCCAAAAGCAGAAATGCAATTTTTGTTAAGAAACAAATCCTCTTCTTAAAATTTTGTGTAATTTGCAATGATATGGAGGAAGAACTCTGTTTTGAAACTCCAAACGCTTTCAGAGTGTTTTAGACAGTAATAGCCCATTTCTTCAGCAAAGGAGATTAATCTAACACTTGTTATTATGCTACATAAAAAGTATCATCCCATCATATTTCTATTTACTATTACAGTGAAATATTGTATGTTTTGAGACAAATGATCCTACAGAACCTGCTTCAGATGCAACTCAGTGTATCCCTGTCTGTAACAGGTCTAGTTGTTTTCAAAACATATTGTAGGACCATTCATTGCCATTAAAGTGATCTGGCTGTCAATCTTTTTGGTAGGTACTCGAGAAACTTAACCTATGGACAGTGTCGCTTAAAAAGAAATATTATTCAAGTCTCTTATTTTAACCCACAGTATCAATGCAATTTAACTTCTCTGCAACAATTTCCCACTTCTAACAAGCTTGACGTGAAGAACCGATTTTTATCGAAAACTATTAGGCCTATTTGAAAAAATATTATAGAACATTCAAGTTGATACAACAGATACTCCTTCCTTATTCAATTCATATCGTGTTTACCACCAAAGAGCAGTTTTTCTTTTTTCTTATTTTTTTAGTGTTTTCTTTTTTGATGTCAATCAAATGGAAGCAATCTTCTCATAGGAGTCCTACACAAAATGATACTTAGTTCAAATTGGGTGTTTCTTCATTCTGATACAGCAATTCAATAAATATCATTTTAAAAACCTTCCACTAGAAACACACATGAGAAATTCCACAGCATTTCCAAGATTAGTTTGTAATGTTTATATTTACTGTAGCAAGCATTTATTCTCAGACATATAGTTTGTCAAAGTTATGTGGGCCTACACCAGATTTTTGTATGAGCATTGTTGTTGAATTTATGTACAATATACCTCTTATGTGTATAAACCAGAATATTTAAGTATAGATTATAGTCTAGCATACTGTAGATACGCAGCTAACAGACATATCCCACTTTTTGACACAGACACTCTTCTTTTTAAATATAAATTATAAGTCCTTAATTACACCAGGTGAAACATCACTAGGTAATGTTTACAGCACACAAATCCATTCCAGCATTTTTAGAAACTCTGTAAATGTTGATAGACTTATTTATTGATAAATACTTAGTACCATTACTCCTTTATTTCCCAATGGCACTTCAGTCACTTAAGATTCTTGTTTTGACTTCAGAGGGTTTCAGATATCACTGGACAGCATCAACCATGGAGAATGGCGGGCAAATTTTGTATTATAGTTAGACAGAACACCTTGGCAGGGGAGAAAAACCATAAATACAGTTTCAAACCTCAGTTTGCCTGGAGTTTCCTCAGAATCAATTGCTGAAGTCTAATGGAAAATTAATTAGCTGGGCTGTCAGGCCCTTTGGAAAAAAAGAAGCATATATGCGTCCAAGAAAATCATAGAGCTAAAGCAAAAGCTTAAAGTTAGACTTTATGGTTTGTCATAATGTTTGACCATACTTTATTGAACTTCCAACTGCACTTTAAACCTTCATGGGTTTTCAAATGCCCTGTTGCACATTTATGCAAGCTCTAAGTAAAATAGGAAGCCTTAGGCAGTATACCACTTTATACAATGCAGATCCAAAGAGATCTGTCTTTGAGCTCTATAGCACCTACTTGAGCAAATTATACAGTAGGTTTCCAGAAAAAAGACAAAACAAACTATTAGGGTTTCAATCTACTACTTAAGCACTGGCAGATATTTAATGCAACAAACCATTCATGGGGTGTCATATTAGGTAAATGATGTATACTTGGGTAGAAAGTCGTAATTCCTAGTATGTCTAACCTGTTAAGGCCAGAATATGAGGCAATATATAAAAGATCTATACCACGAGACTGAAAGTTAACAATTAATAATCTTAATTAAATGAACGCAAATAATTTTACAATAAATGGTTTGACAAAGAGAATTATATACGAAGTTTGTATAAAAAATCCTACAATGTCATTATGATAATTTAGCTTCATAATTTGCTACAGAAAAAATATTTTTATTATATCATAATTTCTGTTATTCACCACAACTCGCACACATGTGTAAACAAACCTCTTTAGTGGCTAAGAAAACCAGCAGACTGACATTGTTTTGTTAAAATCACTAATTTCAAAACCATGATTTGTATAAACCAAATCACATTCAACTCCAGAATTCAGTCTTTAAAAAGTCATTCAAGAGTTAAAGAACCCATGACCCGTCATTAATTTCCTTCAGTTAATGTCAATGTACAATTTTGGCTCCTATGTAATGAGACACATATCCAAATACTTCAAATATTACCATTAGTATATTTCAAGGTAACTTTTAAGAAATTATTTATATTTTGAATTGAAACAATAACTTGTACCTATGAAATATTTAAAAACTATTACCTAATACATTTATTCATTAAGCAACATTTTTTTCCACATATAATATTCGAAACTTCAGCACAAAATGCTTTGTCTAAGTGCAATCCA